CATCCAATCGGGCCCACGGCTTCCCTTTTCCGCTCCAATGCAGCAGGCTAACGGGCCCGGGGTGCAGATCCCGGCACAGTCCCCGGAAGTTGTCCCCTCCGAGCCCGTGTTGGTTCCACCGGTGGTCCACCGCAGCTATTTTCCCGGCGAACACCAGCAGGAACGGCGGCAGAGACCCAAGCTCGTAGATCCTCATCCTCTTCTGCAGCTCCATCCACTCCACGATCCGCCTCGTGCAACCGCCGGCCCGCCACCGCTGGAGGTCGATCACCATAACCCCCGTGTTGAAGTAGCACGGCCGCCGCCCGGCGAACGTCCGGGACAGAGCCGGGCTCGACCAGAACGTCGGCGTGAAGTAGGACGTGAAGTTGGCGTTGCAGTACTCCGGCGCGGCGAGGACGGCGTCGCCGGACAGGGGCGTGGCGGCGAGCTTGGCGATGTCGTCGACGAGGACGAGGTCCGAGTCGAGGTAGACGACGCGGCCGAGGCAGTGGGGGAGGAGGTCGGCGAGGTAGTTGCGCGCGTAGTTGAGCGGCGAGTCGAGGGCGGCGCGGATGGAGGTCGAGATGAGGCCGGCTGCGGCGGCGGCGTCGAACGGGTGGATCTCGAAGCGGAGGTAAGGGAACGAGGAGGAGACGGCGTGGCGGAGGGCAGCGGCGCCGCCGGAGGCGACGAAGTGGAAGGCGACGTTCTCCGGGCAGGAGGAGTGCTGGAGGACGGAGAGGATCGCGGCCATCGAGCCGCGGAGGTAGGCGGCGTCGAGGGTCATCGCCACGTGGACGTCGCCGGCGCAGACGCCGGAGGAGGCGTTGGCGGCGGGGGGACAGCCGGCGGCGTTGTAGAATTTCGGGGCCTCACGGAACTCGAGGGCCGCGGCGGCGGCGGCGGCGGAGAAGATCGCTACAATGATGAAGGCGCGAAATCTGGCGCCTGGGGGCATAGCTTATTATTAGCCTTTTTTTTGTTGTTTTTGTGAAGGTAAATAAAAATAGCACCAAATCTTTCATATAAAGAGAAAAGGGGAAAATAGGGATTTCCAGAATTAGATGTCTCGATTAATGTAATGCTTATTATATGTAACTGGATTTTGATTTAATGTTATTTTTTATTTTAATTTTTTTTTAAATAATTAATTAGGAGGATTAATTCGTGACCATTTAAAGTACTAGTATTTGATATGTATGAAAGAGCGCTTGGATGAGATGACTTGAGTCTCTTCTAGCTTAATCAGTGGTCTCGTGTTCGAGTCCTGAGAATGCAGCAGTGTTAAAACTCTTGAGGGAGAACTTTGCCGCCTTTGTGGTCTTACCCGGCTCGATTCCAGATTAGTCGATTCCCCTATGTATCCGGAAACCGGAAAATCCCTGTAACAAAAAAAAAAACATTGATCTGGCGGCATAGGCGCATCCATCACGTTGCTGTTGGCAAGAAAATTGAATATTGAAGGAAAATGTCGATGTAAAAAAAAACAAATAAAAAACGAGGAAATTGAAAAACTTAAATTAAAATAAAATGAAAAATAAAAAGGAGTTTGCTTTAAGATCAATAGCTGGACAGACTTTTTTTTTTTTTTTTTTTTTTTTTTTTTTTTTTTTGTACAAATAGCTGGACAGACTTTAGTTAAGCCATCCACGTCTCGGCTTTTCAAATCCTATGTATAACCAAGTTGCTCAAGCAGTAACCAGCTTGTTGTCGCTTAAGCAAAATTTCGGATTCGAGTCATTGTGGATGCAAAAATCTTTGTTGGAAGACTCACCCAACATTGTCAGGTGTGCGATCCGTGTCGACTAACGGATTAGTCGGGACATATCTTCGAATACCGTGGCTGATTACAAAAAAAATAAAAAAAATCCTACGTATATTTTGAAATAATCAGGAAATTTTTTGTTATGGTAAATTGAGGATTTTATATTTAGATTTACGCGTTTAATCTTGGCTACTTTAATTTACGTAATATATCAATTTTGGAAATATTTTTGAGCAACTTTTTAGGAGATTGGCCATGTCAAGTATAAAGAATGGAAACAAGGATATTTATTGATGATTAATGGGGTTTGGATGGTATAGGAGATGATTAGTGATGGTGGTCAGGCTAAAATATTTACCATTTTAACTAGAATATTTATAGATTTTGCTTTTATTCTTCACTTTAGTTTATGAAAAAGGACTACTCTCAATTTTATTTTTTCGATTAAAACAAACCCAAAAACGTGGAATTTGGTTATTATTATATGATATTCCAATTGTTATTATATAAATTTTTGATATAGAAATAAAAATCCTGGGAAGATATTCAAGTTTCTGTTGTATTAAATTTATAATCGAAAGTTTTTTTTTTTTTTTTTTTTTTTTTTTTTTTTTTTTTTGTGAAATTACGTAATCGTTATGCAACATATTTTATGCTATAAAATAAATTTTATTATTTTGTTATTTTTAACATTATGATATTTGAAAAGTATGATATTTGTAACATTTAGAAAATTATAATATAATTACTAATAAAACTTCATTAATACCCAACCAATTATGTAAGGCGATCAATAAACATTAAACGGAATTTAAAAATTTCAATCTGTTATCCAAAATGCAGACATACATTTTAGTTTAATATGTTTTTAAATAACGTATGTTTTTAATATGTTTAAACATTGTTTTTAACCACTCTCCTCAAAATTAAATTGATTATTTATTAGTTCGACAGGACTAAATTATAGAACTTTCTAAAAAAATACATTTCCCCGTGTAACAAGTTCTTGAGCTGGTGAAAAACTCATTCACATTTGGCTCTTTTATTTTATTATTATCAACTTACAGCTGCAATATCAGTGTTTGAGTTTGTTGAATGATCTGAAAAATAGTAATTTAAGTTCTACTTGAGACATCTCAACAGAAAATGTTAGATAGCCCCACCGACTAAATCTCTTGCAGTAATTCTGAAGCTACAAAATCTAACCTATGACGAACAAGTCTACCATAAACCCGAGAATACTATTAATACTTACGCGTCAAAGCAGATCTTACGTTTAGACAGTCATGATATTTTTTCAATAACGATATATATGTTTTATGTTAGACTGTATAATGATTAAACAATTAATGATACTCTTTCAGAATACTTTCCTTCTCAAATATCATACTAATTTCAAATACGACATTAATGCAATAAATATGACATTTTATAGTATGAGTATATATCCATTTGTCAGAACAAAGTATGTTTTTCGAGCGGTTAGACATGCGTAACGACAACATTTGTATTTCAAACAGATACGCATAACTTCAATGTGAAAATGTCTCCCTTAAACACATAAATGGCATATTTTAAAATACAAAACATTGATCTACGTACGACATTCATAGTATGAGTGTCCATTTGAAATGTGAAAATATGGTTTGGTTAGACAGTCCTAACAACAACATTTTTGTTTCAAATAGATATGTATAATTTCAAATCAAAATGCATCTTGTTCTAAAACACAAAAATAAACACGTCATTCATAACATAAATATGCATATTTATTTTGAAAAACTTACGAGACGATCTGCCTAATCAATAGGTCGACTTAACACACAAAATTTTTTGTATTATAAATATTAAATTATTCAATAAGGATGAGGTTTGGCAGACCAAACGTTAGACATTTATACTATTTGAAATAATATTCATATTTTTGAACTGAAATATTATATTTTTCGAAATAATATAATTTGGAACATAATTATATATTTTTACGAAAAAATTATAACGGATCGATCTGTCTAATAGACGATGATTTCACTTGAGAATGTGTAAATTATTTAACCTTTCA